ATGAGGATGATCTACAGCTGATAGCACCGGTACCAGCCCGTCACAGCTCTCATTTCCCACCTTGCACACGCAGAAGAACAAATCACCGTCAAGAACTTCATGACCTTTCCAGTGGCAAATACAAAACCTGACAGAGTGAAGTCTACTGGCCATAGGTTTGTTTTGTTTAATTATGCTCCCATGAACAAACAGCTTGTTTCTGCAGGCTACCAGCCGCCTGTGCATCAGAGGCTGAAAGGCAACATTAGTTAGAGAACTGCAGCAGTAAAGTTCACAAACTCATGCAAACACTCTAGGAAACCTTTGTTTTCCACAAATGTGCTTGTAAAATTACACAGATTCATTGGTTTGAATGCCTATAAGAAAAAAAAAATTAAAAAGGATCATAAATACCAAAGGGAGTTTGAGATTTTAATGCACACATCTGAAAGCCCAATTTCTTTTTTGCACTGTTTGCCCTACTGTAGATAAGAAAATGTGTTTTTTCCTTGAAATATTTTGTTTCAATAATGAAGGCAATGGGTGTTTGCTTGAGGCATCTATTTACCGTTCCAGCCACAAAAATAAAATGGATATYGGTAATTTTATGCAGATCATATCCCTTCAACATCCTCGAGTGTTGTGTTCTGTAGTTCTCTTCAGCTCTTTGGAGAGCTCACTCTGCTCAGGAGAGCCCTGGTTTCTAATGAGAAGATGCCTGGCTTGTTTAAACCGAATATTAAAGCCACATTCACACAGCTGAAGGTGCAGTGCTTGAACTCTATCAAGACTGAATAAGCAGATGGCAGACGACTCGTGATGGGAGCTGACACACCCAGGAACGGGAGAGCTGCACCATGGAACCGTGGAAAAAAAAAAAAAAAACTTCAGTGGGCTGGGAATCATCCCTGAGTTCTGTAGCTGCTGAGAGAGACTGTCACTCCTGAATTCCTCCAGGGCTATTTCGTGGCACATGGGTGGCTGCTCTCCCATCCTGCACAAACGTGATTTTATGCTCCGTATTTCAATTACTCCCCGCATAAAAATAGTACACATGTAGAACGCGGGCTGCGATCCAGGAGTCCACCCCCTTGCTGACAGGAGCGATTAATCTTGGAGAATACTTCAGACTTTCAGATAATTTCACTCACTTCTCACATCTCCCTGAAGTTCCCCSCCTTGGTTTACCCTCTCCCACACACGTGATGTCGAGAGAAGGAAGAGCAGAGAGGAAGGAGGGCAAGATTCCCGTGTAACACTCCGGGAATGACAAGGAGCCAGCTCTTCTCCCACGCTGACTGGCACACGGCAGCTCCAAGGGAACACAGTCTGCCAACTAAAGGGCACGGCCAGCCCCTTGTCCCGTGTGCCATCTGCGGCGCGGACGGGCTGGAGGTGCCCGCCACTCGATCCCATGGGAATGGGAGCACTGGAGACATCTCAATCCCTGCCGACAGCATCGTGTTCCATTCTCCAGAGCTCCTCACCGCGTGGTTTGGCCCTGATGCCTCAGAGCCTGCTCCAGAAACCCAAAGTCAAGCCAGAGGTTYCAGTGCCTGCGGCACAGGGTGCCCGTGGCAGAGCTGGAGCGCTGGGACAAGGCACGATGGCTTTTGTCGCATCCCACGCAGACTCCTCCCTCTTCTTCCTCTCTTACTATCTCCTCTTTTTATGAACTTCACCTCAGGACACCTTCATTACAGATCAACCGTACAGCCCGATCCCACACAGATGAGAAAGACGGCACCGGATCACGGAAAACTGATCCAGAGCATTTCCAAGCAGTTGCGCCTAACACAGTGAATGGAAGGAATGTGTAATTTCAAGGCTATTCTGTGAAATAGATTACAATGAGATGGGCTACTCAAGAATTTTTTACACTGCATTTGGTCTGAATTCTCAGTTTTGGCGAGGCAAAATTTAACATAGCCCCTGGGTGTGAAAATGTTCATGATCTGCCTCTTTTGTATGGAAAGAGTAGTTAAAACCCAGTTTGCAATGCATCTTAAAACCTGCAGTTCTGAGTTATTACATAAAACTCTGAAAATTAACCAACTGAAAAAAATAAACTGACTGTAAACAAAGAGAAAGTGTTACTTCTCCTGTCCAAATAGAGTACTACTGCAAAACAGAAATAGCATAAAGGAAAATAAACCGGATATTTAAAATTCTGAGATTTCATCCTTGCAGGTGATTTCCATAACATAGAAAAGAGAATTGAACTAAAAAAAAGTAGAAGCTTTCAGATGCTGAGAGACTGCCCCAGAATTTGGTAGCCTGCATCAGACTGCAATTTCTATTTGGATATCACTGGTCCAAGGCACTGGCCRCTAATGAAAACCTCAAGTGCACCAGACTCCAAGCAGCAGAAAACTTGATTTATTCAATGTTGCCCATTTTCTTGTCTACTCCGGTGGTTTCTGACCCTTCTTTGCAATTGCACTGCAAAATCTACACGAGTGACAACTACATGCAAAACAGACGAGGGATGAATTTAGGACTGAGAAATAGAGGAGTTCCATTAACACCTAAACACAGTCCCACACTCCAACCAAGCAGGCAGAAATACACAGCAAGGCTGTGAAATATCATTTAACGTGTGATAGATCTGGACTACAAGAACTGATGGGAATTTTGCCATTTACTTCACAGGCAACAGGCTCGCATCCTTGATGTGAGTACTTCACACCACTGCACATCTTATCTATTTTACAAGTGCTGCTCAGCTCATTGAGATGGCTGAAGTGCAACAATGACACAAAATCTCTTTTTACCTTGACTATTCCTGCCGGTAAATTCGTGTTCCTGCTGTCTCCCCCTGTGTGTGGGCTACATGATATATGACAGGATATGGCTGAGATTGTAAATAGCTATATTCCAGTCAGGTGTATCATCTCAGAGCAAGTTTTCTCTCAAAATGCACACAATATTAGCAGCTTCATTAAGACAATGGTTCATTTATGCACAAACTAAGCACCATGTTTTGCATACAGAGTTTGGGATGCATCTCCAAAAAACTGCATTTCTCCAGTCTGTGGGGATGCCACGGGGAAGGATTTCTTTTGATTCGTATTTTGTTGGTTTTGCTACTTTTGCAACAGAGTAGCAAGAGACGCAGTGGTACAGCCAGCCAGATTTTACCGCTGAAATCAGCGCATCAAAGGGAAAACGAGTTTTAAAACAATTTACGCCCGTTAAAAAAAACTGAAATAGAATTAAAACCACTTTGTGCTGGTCCAGCYAGTCAGTGGTTACACAACCAACACGGCTGCATAGTCCAGATTCCACTCCCAAGCTTCATGCCAGCATAGACTGGGAGCCCTGAACACTCACCTTGGGGAAGAAAGCGCTATCTGCTGTCCTTCAGGCACCTTCTGTGTGATGGAAGGCACAGCACGGCAACCTCCAGCAAACACACAGCCAGAGGAAAACTCCAGGCAGAGAACCACACTGCAAGCCAATTCCCACATGAGGATGGTTTACAGGGATCTACCCTGCTGGGATGAAGGAAGAACACWGAGGGTTTTCTAGTGTGCTGTGAAAAACAGCACAGTGTGAAGTGTCAGATCATTTACATGAGGATAAGGGCACGGTAAGTCAGGCTTTTCTCCTGTACGTCTGCAGTGGAGATGTGGTGTCTCCAGTGCCAACACAAAACAACGTTCACTTTGAAAACTGGTTTTGAACTTCTGTCTCTGAAGATGGTGGGAAACTAAGCCCCAGGAAACCTAAAACCTCGTGACAGCACTCAGTTCCAGAGTCTGTCTTTGATTCATCACTCCAGCTTCTTCAGGGGGCTGCACACCCGAGCACAGCGCATTGCATCTGGAAGCACACACACGAATCCTTCCACAAGAAAAACTCAAGAGGTATTTCAAAAAGTGCAAGTTTTCCTCTGGAATACATCCACAGGTTCTGAGCAAGTACACTGGAACTGCAATGGCTCGTACATGTTGCACACACTATACCACCCACACTTAGGAAATACTTTAATCGGGARAACTTTAAGAATTTTATATTTGTTAAAGAATTAAGCCACCTGAAACACGTAAAGCAATTAAAGGCAGGCAGTAGCTCTTTAAAAACAGGGCTAGGTGCAAGATGCTCCCATATCACAAGGAAGGCTTCTGTGGTGGCCAGGGTAGCCAGAAATAGCAGCCAGAAATGGACTATGAGAGATTTGAGGTATGGGTTAATGCGTTACGGATGGTTCATTTGGGTATTTTTTCAATGCGATTGCTTTGCTTTCAGCTGTAATATTTGAATTTATTCCTGTGTTCTAGGGGCTTTTGTGGTGTTTAAACTCTAGGCTCCTGTTGCAGTGAGCATTTCTTAATTAAAGAGGAGGAAAGGGAACTATAGAAAGGATACAACCACATCTTAATGATGTGTTACCTGAGCTCACTAGAGACTTTGTATTGAGAAACTGTGAATGTCCAGTTTCTCTGCACAGGGGTTCCAACATTTTTCAGGGGTTTCCTTAGAAAACCCGGGACGATGTGCTCTGAAAGCTCGCCTTAGCTAGCGCGTGATGTGGTCACCGTGAACCTTGGTCCTGCGACTAAAATCCCAGTTCGCGAGAGCACGAACAGCTGAGTCCCTTCTAACCCGCACGATCCCCGCCCGGCGAGAAGGGAGGTGTCACAAGGCGCGGGGGATTCTGTGTCGCCGGGGCCGGGGACCGGCGCTGTCCCGCACGGTGGCGGAGCGGGGTCGGGCGGGTGTCCCAGCCCCGTCCACGCTGCCGCCCGAGGGGAACGCGACCCTCGCCCGCYCCGTCCGGTGGGACACGGGCGCTGCCCCGGCCCCCGACGCGAAACTTTCCGCCGGGTCGGAGGGGCTCCTGCCTCCCTCTTTTTCCTCCATCCCTTCCCACGGTGCCCTCGGCGAAAGTTGCCGCCCCGGCGGGGTCCGGCAGCCCGGGCGACCCCGCCGGGGCGAAGCAGCTGCAGGTGGGAAGAGGGACCCGGCGCTCCGGCCGCCTTCCCTCCATCCCTCCATCGCTCCCGCAGCATCCTTACCCAGCCCCGGCACGAAGGTGTTGAGGAAGAGGCAGATGACGGCCACCGGGAACGGCATGTAGGGGATGGCGGCGCGCAGGGGGCCCTTCTTCTCCCGGACCTGCACCACCACCCCGCTGGAAGGGGCCGTGCCGCCCCGGCCGGGCTCGGCGGCCGCCGCGCTCTCGCCGTCTTTGGGCGAGGGCTCCATGGCCGGCGCGGATCCCCGAAGGGATCGCAGCTCCCGCCGCCGAGCGCGCTCCCGCCGCCAGGCGCGGCCCCGCCTGCGCGCCCCCGCGCCGACCCCTCCCCGCCCTCCGCCCGCCCCTCGCCCGCCTGAATCCCGAGCTTTTCCCGGAGCGCTTCCCGAGCCCGGAGCTCGGCTCAGCCCGTCCCCCCTGCGGGCGACAAGAGAGCGCAAGGCGCTGTCCCGTTCCCCCGCTCCCATGGGGAACACACAACTCCATATGAGGAAGATCGTGCCCCGTGCGCTCCTGCAAAYAGGCGGTGTGGAAAAGTGTAAATTAAAACCACACGGGTTTATTGTTTATTGGAAATCTGTGCGGTAAAGGGGGGAAAGGGAGGAGAGCCACGAGAATTGGAAGGCAAGGAAAAAAATGCCCCTGGAGAGCTAATCGCAGCTTGGGACGGTGTGGAAATGTGTCTTCATTCCCCGGTGTAAAGGGACGAAAGGTGGTTTTGTAGGGCGGGTAATTATTGTTCAACACAGAATTCAGTGGGTGAAATGAAACAAAACTTCAGCATGTCTACGTTAAAAAAAAAAAACAAAACAAACAAAAAAAAAAAACCCCAAAAACAATAATTGTCACTGCAGATGGCATTCAGCAGAGAAAATGGGAAAAATATTAAAGGCATTAATCCTGATATAGAACGTGTGACACATTTATAGGATATTTGCATGAGACAGAGGGTAGTCTGTGTTTTACTGTGCGTTTTGCAGCTRTATTTTTGCTGAGAAAATCCTGCTAGGAATTTAGATTCCAGGAGAAACCTTGAACTACTTTATTTATGCCACTTGAATACCACCTGACAAATGCGTTATTCAACAGATTAATTGATTAGAGTACAAATTAGCACAACGAAAAAGTTGGGTAAACGAAATGACAGAAATGTGGAATCTTCTTCCTAGGTTAGATTATCTTATTTTTCTACTAACTAGGCTCGAAACCACAAAAACAGACAACCCATGCAAAATCTCTCATTTTTAACAAGATTTTCTTTGCTATCTTCTGTTCTCCTTATCTTCTTTGCTTATCTTATAATTTGGCTTATTTTCTGAGTGCATTTCTTCCAAAAAGTCTGCTGACTTTTTTATTAAGCCCATAGGATTTGTTTTAAATATGAAGTTTAGACATGTTTATGAAATGTATTAACCAACTTACTTGGCTCTTTTTTTTGTTGGTTTTTTTTGGTTTTTTTTGGTTTTTAATGGTGACATTTATTTGTATCGAAATAGTTCATGACCCTGCATTTCCTAGCCACAAAGCTACGATAGGGCTGCACTTTTCTTCTGGAAAGATCTGATGTAACTGGTACAGACTGTCTTTCTCTGCTGGTTGATCAAGCCACAGTCAGCTGAGAAATCCTTATGGTATGAATATGGATTAATTAGAGCCTGTACAAAGCAGAATCCAAGTTGGAACACTGTCAGTAATTTGCAGTGACATAATTCTCCATAGGTTCTGGGAATTGTGTGTGGGCGAGCCTGCATCACCTACAGTAAAAGCAAGCAAAAGGCCATTGTGAGAGTAGCCCAAACAGAACATCAAAGACCAAGATTAATTAAAACAATATTTTGTCAGAATTACTTAACAACAAGTAGGCTTTTAGGGAACGTTTCCTTGGAATATCTGTGACAAACATGAGTTAATTCATTCACTTCACAACTAGCTGGCAATATGTAAGGCTTCCTCTACCCACTGTTAAAATGCCACCACTCCTAGACTGAGCTGCATCATTAATTTCACACTGCCRGTGCTGGTGGAAGTCCTCAGGCGCCTCAGGCAGGAGTTATGGCTGCCTCCCGAGTATATTAGGGATACCACAGTGTCACGAGTTGTGACATTTCCGAGGTTTTCTAAACAAGCGGGTTGGTGGCAACATTCCTCTGCTGAGGCTGCTCCTCGCTCCCGGTGCWGCGTGACAGCCGTGCAGAGCATCCCGTGCTGAGCATCCTGTRCTGCATCCTCACTCTGCCTGAGGAGACTGGATCTCTGCTGGAGAGCTGAGAGCAGGAAAGGCAGGGATTCATGGAAAGGTATGCTGGGACCTAAGCAAGGAAATGTGGCTCAGGACTGATTTTTTTTTTTAATTAAAAAAAGTTATCCTTTATAAAAAGCAGCGATATTTGTGTGCGCTAAGAATACTTCGGGTTTGATCTTTTAAAATGTTCATTTCGCTTCTCAGCATGAAAACAGCTCACAGAACTGCTATATATATATGTATATAAAACATTATTTTCCTGCAGTTGAGACAAAAAAATGGTTTTAAAAAACCCCAACAAACAAACAAACAAACCCAACCTGAATTCAAAGCCGTGTTCCAGACCGTGGAACTCCCCTGGCACACCAGCGTGGCACACTGGCACACRGGGCTGGGGGGACACATCCTCCTCCAGACTTCTCTCTGGAAAAGCGCTGCAGGGTGCCAGCAGTGTAAGGCTGAAGACAAAYAGTGCTGCTGTGTCAAGGGCAGGCACAGAAGCAGCTGAGATACCTTAATGCCCTGGATGTGTGGTGAAAGAGCAGGTGGTTTTGGCCCAGAGGGCAACAAGAGACCTCCTGCAGATGGCTGTGCCTTCCACATCATTGTAGCCCTTAAAACCAGAGCAATCTGGCCTCTGACTTCTTCTAACCTTGCAAAGAGCGCCTGTAGTTGTCTGTTCTTGATAAGCAGGTGTGAGCAGAGAGYCTGTGTGTGAAACAGCCTTGTCTCGGTGCTGACAAGACTAAAGCTGCATCTTCTGATTGATGGAAGTTCTCTTATTGCAAAGGCGCTGTGGGGAGTAGATGCCAGGATTTGATCACTATGGTGAGAGTTTCATGTCCACCAGGCCTGAGGAACTCCAGCAYGTGGCTCGTGGCCACCAAACACCCAGTCAGAAGAGGCTGAGAGCAGGAGAAGGGATTTGTAGTGGTCAGTAGCTGACTTTCAGGGAGCTGTCATAGGAGATTTTATGATGGGAGCTTTTCCCTTTATTTTCCACAGAGTCTAAATAAGCTGTATTTCAAACATTTTGCAGGTATGGACTTTTTGAGTTGTACACTAAAGGGTGAGGAAAGTGTTGTCAGGCCAATGGGAAGTTGAGGTCAGCCAGTTGCATTCATTTACCCTGCAGTTGGAGAATGACCTTTACTTCTTTCCCTGCTTGTCCTGGTATTTGAGTTTTTCTTATGCAGTCAATGGAGAATTAGCGATCCTGAGAAAGGAAGRGATGGTGCTTTTCTGTGGAAGTGCTCTGAGGACTGGGCACACCACAGTCTGCCTCTGACTTTGGAAAGGGGGGAAAAAACCTCCTGAAAAATGAATGAATACCAATGGCATGCCTACAGTAATCAGGGGTTCATCTGTTTTAAATACTYACCGCTCCTGAGCTTGGGTTCTTTCCAGAGCAGTCTTGAGTATCTTGCAATGGTAAGAGGTACAAAAATAGATGCAAACACAAATCATTAGGAGTGTTATTAACAAAGACAATAAGGAGCCAAGCAGAGCTGCTGCTATCCCTGAGGGACAGGAGGAGCCCTGCAGTCTGCRCTCCAGAACACCAGTGTAAATCCACCGTGGCTCCACACATGGTGACTGAAAGCAGAGTTTGGCTCAAGGAGCACAGCTTTCTCCTGAAAGAAAAAAAAAATCAATTAATTTCATTCGTGTGCAGGAGGTTAGAGTTATGTCTGCTGCTAGAAAATCCATTGTATCAGCTGAAATGGGGGCTGCAGAGCCCTGTGTCTCCACAGACACAAATGTCCCTCTGTGCAGAGGAATGACTTAAACRAGTGCCACTTGTGGCCCACGTCAGAACAGAGCCTTGGGACCGTCATGACACAGACACCTCATAAATTGCTTTCATCTGACAAATGTCAGACAGTCACATGAGGCTGKGTTTGTGACTCAGTGAGCTTTTCCTGGTGCAAATGAGAGCTGCACTTAGTGCTGAAACTGTGTATGGGTACATCTTGCACACACAAGGCTTTAAAAAAGATTCTTTGTGTCCAGTCTGGTGGAAATCCTGCATTGATTACACTGGGAGCAATAGTAGCTTCATATTTATTAATTCATCTTCAGTTACATGAGGGTTAAAACAACAGGAAATCTTAGTTTCCATAAATTCCTGTTAGCTTAAGACTTTTAATGGTGGCATTTGCAACTGTGTCCTGCTATGTCTTGAAAACATGTATGCTCCCAAGATCACCAAGAAATGCTTAGGACTCCAGGATAAATCTGTTCTCCTGGCTCCTGCCTTCCTTTCCAGGCTTCAGTTAAAGTGTCCCTTCATCCTTACAGCCTGTGCATAATGAACTGCAGCAATTTCTGGGAAACACAAGGATCTCGTCACAACAGTCTTCATGTTTTAATGCATGTAGCTGGTTTTCTTTCTTCYTGGCTCGGGGTTCATGCAGTTGTTCTTCCTCCAAACAGCTTTGGATTGTTACATGTCGGCCCCATGTCTCTGTGCCAGGCTCTGTAACATCTCCTAAATTCACCCCATGTGACCTACAGAGCTCAGAGGGAGAAAACCCACAATAAATAAATTCTCCCAATACAGAAATGGGGAGAAGATAGTMAGGAAAATCTGTCCTTATCATAACAATAAAATAGGTGAGGAAAGAGGACAGGCACTAGAGAAACACAGTAGATATTCTGGAGAGGCCCAAAGCAATTCTGCAGGCACAAACATTTCCCCATCCCATGTTGAATCATTCATGCTTGCCCTGAAAGATCAGATACCCCAGTCCCTAGTTTCTGCATTCCTGCATTCAGAGTTTTCCAAGAAATGTGAGATATGAATGAAAATCTGGAGCTCAATCTATGGCATCACAGCTCTGGATTTGGGTCTCTCTCCAGTTCAGTTGTGAGTTGCTGTTTTAGATTAGTGTGGCTTGAKCTTAATGGCAATCTTCATCTGTCCAAATTATTTGGCAACACCTCCAGAATGATCTCCAGATTTGTCCTGGAATTTGCCCATGATTATTACGGGTTACAAAGATAT